AGTGATTTCCGTTTTCTTGTTGCCCGCTTTCTTCTACATTTCAGCTTTACCGGACTGCTTTATTGCTCTCTGCTCATTCAGCTAACGTCGGTAATGAGGGTCTCAAACATCCTGCGTTTGAGTCCGCCATGAGCATACTTACATCATCGGTGATCGTGGCACGATACACTGTGCTTGAATATCCATCTCCTGCACCTGACCCAGATGTCACATGAATCCTGGACAGAAAAAGTTTATGAAAATAGGGAAAATCATTTAACCCTTTCAGGCTCTCGTTGCTTATAAACAACATAGTGGTAAATTTTAGATTTAACCGGGATAGTGGGACACTTATCGGTTTCCGAGTGTTGGGTTTCCTAGAGGTGGTCTCGGGGTTTAAATCATTCCGGTGAAGCTGAAATGCAGAAGAATGCGGGGAAGAAGAAAACGGAAATCGCTTTGCTTAAACATGGTGCCTCTCGTGTTCTTGTTCCTCGCGTTCTTCTGCATTTCGGCTTATTTACCGAAATGCTTTATTGATCTGAGGCCCCCTCGACGTTCTGAGACCACTTACTACTGCCAAAACCACGTACGCCAGACTAGACGACTCGCGTAACAGGCTTCGCGCTTCGCGATATCTCACAAAACACTGTTACGCGGCGACGAGTCTAGCGCACGTGTAGCTAGGCAAGTTAACAGAAGTGTAAACGGAAATATCACTTCAAACTAGGGTGTTGCAGGCCATCTGAGACGGAAGGAGGAAAGAGGACAAACTCACTTATCTTTCTCTATCCGTTTTGGCTTTGGTTGGTCAAGCTGGTCACGCGCCTCTACGGCCTTTCAGGTATGAGAAACTGTCCGATCAGTTACGAACTCCCCTCCGTATGAGGCTTTCCGGTAAAGCTGAAATGCTGAAGAATGCGAGGAAGAAGGAAACAGAAATCACTATGCTTTAACATGGTGACTTCCGTTTTCATGTTCCCCGTATTCTTCTGCATTTCAGCTTTACCGGAATGCTTTATTAGAGAGGTTAAAATCGGGCCAAACAGCATGAAGGCTTCTCCTCACACCGAACGGAAACGGATAAATGATGGAGTTTGTTCTTTTCCACTTCCTATTTAGAAAGCCTGGACCACCCTCTTAGGGAAACGAAACTTGAGATGTTTTCGATAAAGGTTTCAATTTTATCAGACTGTTATGTAATAAAACACTTTTCGCTGAGCGATTAGCAAAGCCCATTTCTACTCTATTGGCCAAAAAAAGATTTCATTATGTTGGTTTGTTTGATTGTCCGCCTGTCTTTTAGCACGAAAATTCGAGAAGGAATAGGGCATTTCACCCAGTTCAAACCGGATCCATAGAGGAACAGTAGTGCTTCCTGAACTGTTTCCTCCCTGACGCTCATTGGCTCTCGCCACTAGGGCTGTGACTACCCTAGTAACGGGTCCGAGAACTTCGTCCGCGTGGTCAGAGGAGCGGCAGGGAGGAAACAGTTCAGAAAGCGTTGCTGTTCTTGCTTGCATCCGGTTTAAACTAGCTGAAATGCCCTACTGAGGTAGCGATATGGAGATTTCAAGGCTCGTTTTGTATCATAAACAGACGGAGCGAGCTCAAAGAGAAGCACTCTAGCTCAAAAACTGACTTGAAGGGGACATCCTAGCGAGAGGGAAATCACATGCGCAAAAGATTGTACCTTCCCCCAAGATAATCCGAATTAAAGGCGAAAGAAAAGAGAAAGAGATCGAAATAGACGCGAAATAGTCGGTGAAATAGTTGCGAAATGACCCTGAAATACTCCGAAATACCTCGAAATAGCCTGAAATAATCTGAAATGGGCGAGAGCATTTGCAAGCTCCACTTCGCTGCGCCGGCAACTCCGACAGGGGCCGGGCCTGCTTTGCCTCCCGGGGGTGATGCTAGGGCCTGCAGCCCGACCATTTCAGTCCCACGATTTACAGAAGAACATAATCAAATCAATAATGTGACCCGTACTTTGCATATTTGAGTAAACTAACGTCCGGCAGGGAGCCTCCCCGGCCCTTGAGATTTGCTCCTGCTTTGGCATCACAAAAGACTGTAACGGGGCCACACCACGACTACACCCCACCCTTCTGATTAGCTTCAGAAAAATACAAAAAAATGAGCCAGCGCAGGTTTAAAATTGAATTGTTTGTCAAACAGTCTTAAAACTTGACCTTTTGCCATTGTTATAAATATATCCACCTCTAGAACTGATACAGTGAAAGATACATCAGTATTTTAACGAATTGAAATCCATAGTAATCACAAAAACTAAGCGGGATATACTACGAATTATCACATGACTCAGGCACGGTTTTGAGTCTGTCTGACGGAGGGGGTGATTTGCTGAGCGGGCTGCCTACAGTCAGGGGGTCTTGTAGGACAAATTGCCTACCCACCCCAGGGCGCGGCCGGGAGGGGGTGGGATCCCCCCCATAAAACAGCGCCTCATATGACTTTGGTTTTCTTGTCATGACACGAAAAATATCAATGACGACACCTATGTACAAAAAAATAGGTGTTTTTGTCATCGTGACCAAGGAGTTTTACAGTGTGAGCCAAGTTACGGGCCAGGCGAGGGTGTCCCCACTAGCCAACTCGTTGTACTGTACACTTGCCCGCACCCAACATGCGCCCAGCTTGCGTTCAAACTCGGGGAAAATTCTCAAAAATTTGATTCTAAAATGGGGGTCCCGGTTGCCACTTATTTGTTGTCATTGACGAATGGATTCTCAAAAGTGACGAACTGTTTTTTACAGTGTGAGGTATGGTTCATTTAAACTCTAAACCCTTGTGACTAACTATCTGTCTCAATATTTTCCGCCACATGACAATTCCGTGTTACAGTGTGCAGGCCTTGAGAGGTGGCATTCTAATCCGAAAAGAGACCCATGAGGTAACGCGTGCGAGGAGTGCATCAAAATCCGGAGTGTTAAACGGATGCACTTCTGATCGAGGGGGATTTCAGTTGCGTAGTAAACTGGACATCTAGACTCAGTTAAACGCGTAGGGTAATTCCTAAGAAATGCGAAAAACGCTTTAAAATTGTAGAATTATGGTTGCAAAAGCCCGTATAATATTTGCGTGACAGTGCGTAATACAGTGTACACGAAAATTCCAAGTGGAAACCTCTTCGCTTTTTCTGGAAGAAACCGTTCCGCTACTGACAGGACGACTGACGCTTACTTTGACTCTCGAAATCCATGCTTCGCGGCGATGTCGCGAAGGATTACGTCTAACGCTGGCGGAACTGACAACGTAGCGACGCTGGCCATGACTCTGGCTTGACTACCGAGTGGGTGGGGACTGAGTGGCGCGTGAGGCCTTTATAGATGAGTGGCCAAGGCCGAGGACCCAGCGACGCGGGCCGACTGGGACTCCCTCTGCCGTGTGAAGACTGCAGTATCGGATGGATGTGACACAACAGTTGGCGCGGTTGTGCCATACCATAGGCTGTGCACAGATAAGAGCTGCACTGCGGGACTACCACCCAACAGTTATCGCACGGCTACTTAGAACAGTGATGCGAAGTTGTCTATTGCACAATAGCTCGGTCCCATGGCTATAACGGTAATGCATTTAAAAATACGTGTGATGGCCAAGGCCCCTTCGTAAATAAATCCAGAGGATAGCCGGGACCTGCTAGCAACAGTCAACGATGTGCATGAGAGCAAAACGTTTACTCGCGGATGCCTCGCGACTTATCCACTTGCCTTGTGTGGGCTCCTTTAAGTTCAGCGAGCCCCTCCAAGGCCGCGAGCCACGCTTCTTTGCAAGCGACGCACGTGCTTGTTTATAAGGGAACCTTTTCAGGTGTAAATCTCCGATTTCGTTGGAACTCGGAAAATTTAAGGGTTATTGCTGAGCTTAACTGGAACTTGAAATTAAACTTTAACTTTAAATGCTCAGCTCTGTCAGGAAGCGCAAGGGGAGACCGCCCGGAAGACGGCGTGAAGTGAGGCGCCTG